TTTAACAATTTCAGTATGTTCTTTATTCCAACCTTTAGTATTTGTTTTCCTAAGTAAGATTTGTATCTTATGTCTCTTTTTTGAGAGATTTTCAATAAATCCTTCAGCATAGTTTAAACATCCTAAAAATTTTTGTATTTGTTCTTTGGATTTTAATTCATCTGGAAAGCTTTCTATCTTTTTAGATATATGAGTCTGTAATTTTATTCTTTTTCTATCTATTGATAATCCTAAAAAATCTATTTCTTGTTTCTCTATTATAAATTTCTTTTTAGAAAGTACAATTCCTTCCTTTTTGCATTCATTTATAAATTGTAATAAATGATTCCTATGTTCTTTTTTATTATTAGAGCATATTAGTATGTCATCAATATAAACAATAAGAAAATCACTAAACTTTTTGAATATATTCTCCATTTTTCTTTGATATATTTGTGGTGCATTTTTTTAAATCAAATGGCATAACTAACCATTCATATTTTCCTTGAGGTGTACTAAAAGCTGTATATTGTATACTATCTTCTTCCATTTTTATTTGCCAAAATCCTGATTTACAATCAAATTTGGAATAATATTGTTTTCCTTTTGCAAGGTTTATTAGGACTTCTTTATTTGGTAAAAAGTAATCATCAAATTTAGTATATTTATTTAATTCTTTATAGTTTATTACCATTCTAGCTTTTCCTCTAACCTGCTCAGAATATTTCATAACCATAAAAGCTGGACTACTATGAGGTCCATTATTGGGTCTAATTAGCTTTTGTTCTATTAGTTCTTTTATCTGAATTTTGAATTCTTGCATATCCTGTAAGGTATACATCATTGGTCTAACTCTTATTATAACATTTTCTGTTAATTCTATTTTAGTTTTAGGATGATATGGTTTCCAAAATAATAATGGGTTTTCTCCATAAATTTTTTCTAATTGTTCTATGATTTTTCCCATACTTATCTCTATTTCTGTTTTTAAGATCTTTTTATATGATAGTTTTTTATTTTTTAATTCATCTTGTACTATTGGTCTTTTTTTCCATTTATCACCACGCTGGGCTGGCTGAACTCTGTAGGGTCTAAATTCTCTTGGTATTTTTAATAGATGTGCACAAGGTGTTTGTAACATTATCATGTAATTATTTTGTTTATAATATTGAAATTGTTGGATAAAATCATTTCCTAATAGTATATCACATTCTAACTTATTGTAATTATATACTTTATTTATTATAACTTGTTTACTACCAAGTATTATATTAACTTTTTCAGCACTATCAATTATTTGAGTACTTTTTCCAGTCACTCCTGTTATCTTTATTTTACTATTTTTATTCCATGATTTTATTAAGAAATTTTTAAAAATTGTTATATCACTTCCTGTATCAATTAAGGCACAAGTTGTTATGTTTGTTTCTACTATAGTAACTTGTATATATACTGCCAATGGAAAACTAATTTGATTATTCATCAACTTCCTATTCTACATAATGTAGTTTGTCCCTTATGAGTTATATATAATCCTTCTCTTCTTATACTATAATCTTCTAATCCATTTAAGAAACTCATTCCTAATAATATATGAGGTTCAATGTCTATACTTTTATCTAAATAACATGGTACTAAAAGATCAATCCCACCTATTTTTATTGGTACATTTGCCTTTAATTCTGTAATATATAGTTGTCCATCAAAATTCCTGTATTCATATGGTTCTATCTTGTAAGTCATTAATCCTTCATTTTTATTTGCAGCCATATGACATTCACCAGCTCCTGTATCTATCAATATATTTGGTCCTTTTATATACCTTCTACCGTTGAAATATTTTCCTTCTATTTTCATATTTCCAATATTGCTACGAGGTTTTATTTCTTTTATACCACTAGTTTCTCCTATATATTCCTTTTTATTAGGTAGTTTAAGACTTTTTGATTTCTTTATCAGTCTTCTATTATGAAATGTTATTTTATAATCTTCTTCTTCTTTTAACTCTGTTATTTCAGGCTTATTTTTAGTTATATTAAATTCAAATTCTTTTGGAATAAGATTTATTTGTTTGTTTGGTTCCATTATTTTACTAATATCCTTACATTCTTTATGAATTTCTATGTATGGTTTATTGGAATAAATATTCCCATAATTAGAATTAGTAAATGTATATAATGCCATATATTCCATAGTCATAATTTGGTCTCCTGGTTCCATTATATCATTTCTATGTAATTTGAAATGTAATCCTAAAATTTCATTAAAGTTTTTATCTTTCAATGAGACACAATATTTTGGGTAACAAGTAAATCTTAACTTTGGATATGCTAAATTTCCTTCTATAGTTCCTAAATGACCATCTTCCAAATTTATAATTCTTCCATCATGTAAACTTACAGTTAATGGTGAATCTATTCCTTCTCTAAATAAGGATTTAAACATTATTTGTATTCCTGCTAAATAAACATATTGGATCTTTTCACTATGCTTTTTACTTATTTTTGATAATAATTCTGATACTGTACTTTTTGTTAAAAGGTTTATTTTATGTGTTCCCTGAGTTGTCCTAACATCTATAGTTTTTTCAATCTTATGGTATTCATTTATTGCTATTCTTTCTCTCCTCCATATTCTATCTAGAATTTCCCATTTTCCTATCTTTAAATCTAAGGATAACTTTTGTATCTTCTTGAATTTATTATTATCAAAAGTTACTTTTAATCCATAACCTTCTATTCCCTCATATTCTTGGATTTCTATGTTATTATTTTCTATTTCTTCAATTTCTCTATTCAGATTCTGATCCATAATCTTCTGAATCT